GCGGGGCGGCCGGAGCGCGGGGACCAGGCGAGGCCCCGCTGCGCCACAACCCCACCCGGCCGCGTGCGTCCAGGGGCTGCGGGGGGAGGTCGAGCCCGGGCTGACCACCTGCCTCCAGCCCGGGCACACCTGCTGCTGCCCGGCCTTCGCCCGGTGCCCACGGTGGGTGGGGCCGGGCCTCACCTGCGCCCAGCCTCGGTGGCTCCACCCTCGCGCCGGCACCCAGGGTGCTGGGAGCTCCGACGCCCTGTGCGGAGCGGCGCGGCACGCCGTACGCAGGTTTGGAGGGCCCTTGCCGAGCCCACGATTGCTCCTTTGGAGGCCAGCCTGCTCTGGTCGCTTCCCGTCAGCCCCAGGTGGCTGCAGATCTGCCGGGCTGCGACCCACCGACCGCACCCCAGTCATCCAAACTAACCCCGGGCTCCGTGTGAGGGGGTTGCCCTTGTTGGGGAAAGGGGCGGAGGCTGGGCCCTGGAGCCACGTGGGCTGGACCTCTGTCCACAGTGCCGTGGGGAAGACGTGCCTGCTGATCAGCTACACGACCAACGCCTTCCCTGGAGAGTATATCCCCACCGTGTGAGTGCATGGGGGTGGGAGCTGGCTTTTGGGGGCCAGATGGCCCGCGTGTGGGACCTCCCCTGGGCTCCACGTCTGGCTCTGGGTTTCGATGGTGGGGTTGAGGTGCTGGCTTGAGTTTGGGTTCTGTGTGGGCTTGGCTGGGCTCTGGAGGTGTGGCTTCCCTGCCCAGCCTCGCCCTTCCACCTTGCAGTTTTGACAACTACTCAGCCAACGTGATGGTGGACGGGAAGCCTGTCAACCTGGGGCTGTGGGACACTGCTGGCCAGGAAGACTACGACAGGCTGCGGCCACTCTCCTACCCTCAAACTGTAGGTGGCAACAGGGCCATCCTAAGAGCTGGGTGGCTCTGGCCTCGAGGTGGGGCAGTTGGAAACTTTGGATACCCCTTGGTCACATCCATCTTGTCTCTCCCTCTCAATTCTCAAGGATGTCTTTCTGATCTGCTTCTCCCTGGTGAGCCCGGCCTCCTTTGAGAATGTCCGTGCCAAGGTAGGGTGGGCCTTGAGGGCCTGGGGGAAGGCACATCCCAACTGGGCAGTGGTCTCTGCCTGTGATCTTTTTTCTGCTGAGTGAGGGACCCAAGGTGGTGGTGGGGTTGGGGGGAGGAGAACGGCTTCCCACTGGCCATGGGCCCAGACTATGGAGCTGTGATCAATTTCCCTGGCTTGGTATTTTTGTTCAGCACCAAGCCCACCAGACCCCTGGTCACCCTGTGAAGTAGTAAGAACCACTTGCATGAGGAAAAAAGCCTCAGGCGCTGGAGCATGCTTTGGGCGTGGTGGGGGAAATCTGTGCCTGGGAATAGGAGTCCCTGCAGCCTGTGGGGTCAGAGCCTCTGTTCCCACAGTGGTACCCAGAGGTGCGGCACCACTGCCCGCACACACCCATCCTTCTGGTGGGCACCAAACTGGACCTCCGTGATGACAAGGATACTATTGAGCGACTGCGGGACAAGAAGCTAGCACCCATCACTTACCCACAGGGCCTGGCTATGGCCCGAGAGATTGGTGAGTAGGCATGGGGCAGAGTTTGGGCGTGTGCTTTGAGGAAGTTGCCCTGCCTGTACTGCCCACCCACCTGTCCTCACTGCTCCCCCTCACACATACCTGCCGCCACTCTCCCTGTCCCCTCTCTATCTGTCCTTCCCCCACTGCTCCCAGGTTCTGTCAAGTACCTGGAATGTTCAGCCCTGACTCAGCGGGGCCTGAAGACAGTGTTTGATGAGGCCATCCGGGCAGTGCTCTGCCCACCCCCAGTGAAAAAGCCAGGCAAGAAGTGCACGGTCTTCTAGAACCCTGTCTGGCCGGCCTGGCTGAGGAGCCCCAGCCCGAGTGTGCCCTCGTGTTGAGCTGTCTGGTGTCCCCAAGTCTGCTGTGGGAAGTGATGTGGGTGGGGAGGGGAAGCATGGGGACAAAGCTGGGGTGACGGGATCCTGTCCCCGATGCCTCCTCTTTCTGGGGTATAGCTCCAGCCTTCCCTGGCCCCTATGGGAGGCCGGGAGGGAGCAGGGTCTCCCTCAGGGCTGCAGGGGTGGGTCCAGGACAGCCCCAGGATGGGCTTCCCTGGCGGGGAGGGTGGGGGTGGGTTCTGTCCATCATGTCCCCAGGAAAGGGCAGCCCCTTCTTATTTTATACAGTAAACATTCACCACCTCCTATGTTTCACCGTCTTTCTTGCCTTCTTCTGCTGGCTTGACCCTAGCCATCCTCTAGTGCATGATGATCCCCAGCAGAGGCACATGGCACCCCCAACACCTTGGGCTACAGGTTTCCAAAGGAGGCTCTGAGCTTGACCCACCCTAGATGAGGAAAGGGACTGCATCCATCCCAAAGGAGGCCACTCAGATCAAAGCAGGGGTAGGTGTATTTAGCTGCATACTGGACTGGATGGCCTCTTGTGCGCTGACCTGGTTGAGACCTGGGGGAGGCACTCCAACAGTGCTCCATGGGTTGAGGTGGACAGTCTATAATGAGGCTGAAACCGGGCCTTCTGGAGCCCAAGTAGGCCCAGGGCAGCTCCCACAGCCCCCCACTTCTGACTGGTACGAGAAACCCCCATCAGGTTACTAACAGGGGCTGGGAGACAGCCTGGGAGGGCCCAAGTTATGGTCCAGGGACTTGAACCTCATCCCAGAGACAGCAGGCCATCCCTAGGGCAGACACAAGACCAGAGGGTACCCTGCAGGGCCACACTTCCCTCTCCATGACACAAGTGGCTCAGGCTGACTCAGGAGAACTGGCTGCTCTATTTTTTAGGAAGTTTGCCAGCCAGTTGTTAAACATCTCTTCCTTATTAATAATTAAATTGTATAAACTTACAATTAGTTGCACTAAGAACAAAATTAACAAATATGTCACTTCCTAATTACTTTATACATGTTTCTACCCTCTGCACCTCCTGTTATTTCTATATATTGTATGTGGAAGGGTGTTACTGAGGACTGCCCACATCCTTATCCATCAAGTGGGAAGCTTGAAGTCAGCGATGGTGCAAGTTCCACATCATGGAATGTGGCAACTGTACCGACCAAGGCTTGATTTATCAGTGGCCGAGGCCACTGGAGGTAAATACTGCAAATTAAATATGCCTGAACTCTGATTATATTGCAAATAGCACAGAAAGTTGTAGGAATGTCCTAGTTTTAGAAAACAATTATCCAACTCAACAGAGAAGTTACTCAGGTCATTGGCAAATTAGTAATGTCTGACAAGCATCTTTGGCGTTTGTGCACGTGCTGCTCGTGGATTTAAGTGAGATCAACCAGCATTCACACCGGAATCATACAGCTGTGTGTTCAGTGCTTAGAGACAGCCCACTGCCTCACCCCACAGACCTCTCCCCAGGCTATCTTGGGTCAAATTTACCAAGCTCTTGAGGAGCCAGCCTTCTGAAAGTTCCTACCTTCCAGCTCATGCCAGGGAGATGGCCAGGTCTGAAAATCTATGTAAGCAAGGCTACACCTGGTCTGGATCACAGACAGTATGGATCTCTGCCTGAGAATCAGCACACAGACTGGACAGAGAATCAGGTTTTTTATAGGTATAGGGGACACCGTTCTAAGCACAGTGCTGACTGATGTACAGGTGGAGGGGACTCAGGTGGCCAGGAAGCCCCCGTCCACTGGCACAGTAGAACCTGTGGTCATGCCACTTCGATCACTCAGAAGGAACAGGATGGTGTCTACCACATTCTCCACCTCTGCGGGTAGATGGAGGTCAGGGGCATAGATTAGGAGGTTACCCTTATCCTTCTATCCCCAACTAATCTCTAACCCCAGACAAGCACTGGGGCTGCAGGTGAAATTCCAGTCTGGACTCCTGCCTAACTCACCAGCAAACTTGCCAAGTGGGATTCGGTCCAGCATAACCTTGGCCTTGTGGGGATCGCTCCAGTTGGTCCGGCCCATGGGTGTCATCACTACTGTGGGGTTTACTGCATTCACACGGATCTGCACAGGAACCAGCAAGGGTAAACAAGAAGGGAGCCTGCCCAGGGCATGTGGACTGGTTGGAGGAGGTGCCCCAAACAAACTCACCTTGTGGGGCCCAAGCTCTAGGGCCATCATCTTGGTCAGCATGTCCAGGGCACTCTTGGTGGAACCTATGAAGGGGCCATCATGGAACCCAAGGTGGCCAGGGGTGGGAGGGAGGGGTAACGGTCAGGGACAGCTGGAATCACTCACAGTAGACACTATGGTTGGTCAGTGCACGTTGAGAGGCCTGGCTGGAGACATTCACAATGGCCCCTGGGACTCCCCGGGCTATCATGCTCTTGGCCACAATCTGAAATTGCAGAGGGATGTGAGGCAGAGCTAGTATCCTTCTTCACACCTGCTTTAACCAACCAGGGCAGCTCACCTGAGACACCTGGATGACAGCCCGAAAGTTCACCTGGAAGGACCTAGTGGTGGATGGGCAGATCCTGGTCAGGGGCAGGGCTGGAGCTACTACAGGGGACAGCCCCTGCCCCCAGGGTTCCTCCACACCCCTACTGGCTCACGTGTCACAGGCCTCCTTGGTGACCTCCAGGAAGGGCTGCAACAGTGCTACCGCAGCATTGTTCACCAGCAGGTCCACAGGGCCCACGTTCCCCAGAGCCTTCTCCGTGGCCTCCCAGTCCCCTAGGTCCACGCAAACCGGCTCCACACCAGGACACTGTGTATTGGGGCAAGGCAAAGCTACTAGCAACTCTGCCAAGAGGGGAGCTGCTGGGCCTCTGCCACCTGAGGAAAGTGAGAGTTGGAGCCCAGAGGGTGCTTTAAGCTGGAAGGGTCAGGCCACCCAGCCACCTCAGGGAGTGGTGGGGGTGGGGGGCGGTGGAACCTAGCCAGTTCACTGCCTCTTCGACCCAGCACTCTTGGTCCTAAGACTGCTCTAGATATTACAGCCCCTTCCAAACTCAGGGAGCCAGGATGGGTTCTGCCGGCCACCCGGCCATCGGCACAGGCCTCTTGCCTGGGAAGGGGTGGGGTGAGTCTTCTCCACTCCCAGCGCCAGGCTCAGGGCCTGTGACCCATGAAGGGCAGCAGGGGCGCAGCGGGGCTCACTCGGCGACCGCCCCTTACCTCGCGGACCAGGCTGTCGAGGTCCGTCCGTGTCCGGCTCACGGCCACTACACTTGCACCCGCCGCCTGCAGCGCCTGGACAGTGCTGCGCCCGATGCCTGGCGGGGAGCGGGGTTTAGTGCAGGCGCCCCCCGCCGCCCCCGTCCCCGCCCGCCCTCGCCTGCAGCCGCACCTTTGCCCGCGCCGGTCACCAGCGCCCGCCTGCCCGCAAGCCCCAGGTCCATGGTGGCTCAGCCTGGTCGTGCGCCTGCGAGGTGGACTCGGAACTTCGGGATCGAGGGCGGGGCGAGGCAGAACCAATCGCTTGGGCCGAGAGCGCCTTCTTTCTGCTGATTGGTCGTGCGGAAGTGGGCGTGGCCTAGGCGGGGCTCCCCTTGCTCTGCTGTGCAACTTCCTTAACAGCCCAGAATTGACCCAACCAACCCGGGACTTGGGGTGCATTTAGCGAACCCTGGTCAGCATGATTTTCTTTGCCAAGATTATTACAAGAAATAGATTTAGCAGTTAATGCCAGCCGTCTGACGGCTACTCCTATAATGGAAGCATGTCTGAAAAGTTTCCTGTGTGCCCCGGGCCGGAGAGTGTCTCCATGGCTCACATGTAATACCCAGAGGAAATAATTTGGACAGCAGGTAAGTTCAAAGAATTGATCACCGGGGCTGGAGAGACGGCTCAGCGGTTAAGAGCACTGACTGCTCTTGCAGAGGACCCGGGTTCGATTCCCAGCACCCACATGGCGGCTTTGGTCCCAGCATTCATGTTGGGTGACTCACAACCCCCTATAACTTCAGCTTCAGATGCCCTCTTCTGGCCTCTGCTCGCATTGCATTCACATGTGCACATACCTACACACAGACACACACATACACATAATTAAAAATACTCATGGGCTAGAGAGATGGCTCAACAGTTAAGAGCACTGATTGCTCTTGCAGAGGATCCGGGTTCAGTTCCTAGCACCCACATGGTGGCTAACAACCATCTGTAACTCCAGTTCCAGAGGAACCAGATGCTCTCTTCTGACCTCCAATGGCATTGCACGACACGGTTGCACTCACATACATGCAGGCAATACACTCATATACATAAAATAAAAATAATAAAATATTTTTTTAAAAAAATTCATCACCAATAAAGCCCTGAGTCGCCCCAGCCAGCTTCCATTAGGCCACTAGCCCCTTACAGAAGTGGATGGATGAGGATGGACAAGACTGGGGTTGTGAATGTGCGTGGGAACCGGCAAGGCGAGCATTGCTTTCCAAGGCTTTAGGATCAGTTACAGATGCGTGCAGGCCCAGGTATGCACTGGATCTCCCTATAAAAAATATTTTGTTCTGTGAGTCCTGGCGGACAGGATGAGAGTCACTGCCCTGAGGACCTTTTGTGGGCAGCAGTAGGTATTATGGTGTGAGGCCCTAGCTCACCTGGGGCTTTGGGCCCAGAGAGGTGCCTGGAAAGGTACAGCAGACACAGATTTGAGAAACTGCTGGGTTCAGACAGCCAAGTGCCTCCTCCCCACCTTTGACCTGCTCAACATCCCTGTAAGGCCACTCTGTGAACACTGGCTTGTGGTTCTAACTTTGGACCCTGCCCTCTGCCTGTCAGAAGCCAGGAGGGACAGCTCCCAGCCTGCCCAACACCTAGGCACAGCAGCTTAGAGCTCAGCAACGACTTCAGTGCTCCAGGACTTGTCCAAATCTCATTAACTGTTCTGTGGTCCTTGGTCAGATCCACCCAGGCTTGGCTCAGTCCCAGGGAGGTGCTAAGACTGGACAGAAGTTCCCTCAGCACATGTGCCCTGTGCTCTCTCTGGAAGGTCTCACCCCTGTCCCTCCCCTCCCCTTCCCCTGGATAGGACCCTGTGTCAGTTCAAATGATTGGCCACCTCAGATCTGACAGCTTATCAGATGGCCATACATTGCAGGCAAGCCTTCAAGACTCTGAGGAGCCCTGGGCTGCAGAGCTATTGTGCTGGTTCAGGCCAGAGCTGCAGACTAGTGGTGAGTGCTCCAGTCCAGTATGGGTCGCCCTCTTGGGGTGGTCCTATATATGAAAACCCCCTGGGGGGAGTGGGCTTTCCCGGGGAGGATGACTGGCTTCCATTCACCTTGTTCCCGACTCACTCCTGCATGATGGAGCTACAGGTTTAGGGGTAAGTTGGTCCAGGGCATCACTCCCCTTTTCTGACCTCTGTTCAGGATCAGAAATGGGATGAGAAAAAAAACCTGGAAGGTTCTGCAGTGAGCTCTGCCCTAGGTCCCCGGCTTGGCGTTGAGAGGCATGGACAACAGGAACCGCTGCCCTTTGGTCACAGGCACTGTAGGCATCAGAAGAGGGCAGGATTTGGAATGAAATTCCTATGGTAGGAACTGATCCTGTGTCTAGCCTTGCTGTGAGCTACCCACAAGGTGCCAGGTGCGCGGGTTCCAGAACATGGTATTCCATTTATTTAAGCAAACCAACCCAGTACAAGGAACAAGGAGGCATGGGATCTGAGGGCCTGAAGCCCTCGGAGATGCTTGGGGGCAGAGTGTGAGCTGGGTGCTGGACATGGGTGTGGGGGAGGACCTGAAGAGAGGAGAGCTGCTTGGGGCAGGGCTGTAGATGGGACCTTGAGCCTGGTGAAGGGTGAGGCTGTGGGAGGTGACACAACAGGAAGTAGGCCAGGTAGGCCTCCCAGAGCTCCACCAGGTCAAGCAGTCTAAGAGGCCAAGTAACCAGCGTCCACCAAGATGCCAGAGCCACTGGTAGAGGCACTGCTGTCACTGAGCAGGAAGAGGATGCTGTTGACCACGTCCTCCACCTCTGCAGGACAACAGATTGTCAGAGCTTCTGCCTCAACGCTGCCAGCAACCCACTCACCCAATGTCCCTGGCTGACCTGCGAACTTTCTCAGCGGGTGGCGCTCCTTCAGCTTCCGGGCCAACTCAGGGTCTGCAGAGACTTTCTTGCCCATGTCAGTCAGCACCACAGTGGGGTTTACGGAATTTACCCGGATCTGTGGTCGGGGGTCACGGGTGATACGTCAGTCAGGGAACTGGCCCCACCCACACAGCTTGGGACTCAGTCCAATGAGCACTGACAGCTCTGTCCACCTAAACTCACTATTCGGAGCCTTGTGTGGTCCTCAAGCCTCCCCCATCCTCACCCTTAACGCCCACCCCTGTCCCCAGTGTTCACATTGTTCACTCAGGCCTGGCCCCAGCCTCCTGTCCTACCTTGTGTGGCCCCAGTTCCATGGCCATGGCTTTGGTCAGCATAGTCATTGCACCCTTGGTGGAGCCTGTGGGAGACAGTGCTGAGGATCCCTTAATTACTCAGTCCTCCTTCTGGAAGGCCCACCCAAGGGCAAAGAGACTGCACACCTCTGAGGGCTGTACTCACTGTAGGTGGTCAGTTCGGGAAAGGTGACATGGGCCACCATGCTGGAGACATTGACAATGGATCCAGGCACTCCACGATTAATCATGCCCCTGACTACAATCTGGAAGCCGATAGTTGGGGATAGCTCACCCACCCGTCCCACCCCCTCCAGGGGGTCCACTCTGGGCCACCACCCTCCTCCCATCTCACCTGGGACACCTGCAACACGGAGCGCAGATTCACATTGAAGGACCTGACAGGACAGGAACAGTGGCCACCTCCACTGCCTGTCATCAGCAACCCTCCCCCTCCATATCCCCTCTCCCTAAGTGCCCACCTGTCAAAAGACTCCTTGGTAATGTCCAGGAAGGGCTGCGTCAGTACCACCGCGGCATTGTTTACCAGCAGGTCCACAGGGCCCACACCACCAAGTGCCTGCTCTGTGGCCTCCCAGTCACCCAGATCCACACATATGGACTCTATCCCAGGGCACTGTGGGAGACATTGTGTGGTGTCCTGAGACATTGCCCTGGCAGGCTTCCAAGATCTCCCTGAGAGTGAGGAGCAGACCCAGGCTGGGCAGGGCTGTGTGCCTCACCTCTCTGGCGAGGCTGACCAGATCAGCGTTGGTACGTGTCACAGCCACCACTTTGGCTCCTGAGGCATGAAGGGCCTTCACAGTGTCCCGCCCAATCCCTATAAAGACAGAGGGAGGATGGTAGAAATAAGGGCCTGTAGACCTGGTCACAGCTGGGGCCAGGGTTGCAGGTGAGAGTAAGGATTGCAGCTCCTGGACTCCTGGAGCCAGCAGTGGGAGTGTGCTAGCTAGAAAGCCATAAACCAGGGCTCGGTGGGACTCATTCTGGCACAGGCCAGACTGACTAGGAACAGACTTAGGGACCCTCCCAACTGGGCCCAAGGGAAATTTGCCTCTGGCTTCCATCTGCCCAGCCTGGATCTATGGGCTGTCCTGGGGTCTAGGTAGGCTCATCTCTCAGAGAATATTGTGGCGTACCGGGCAGGGTTGGAATCTTTTGCCTGGTGGGTTCCAGCCAGGTGACACAAGCTGGTCAGTCATGGGTTAGTAGGAGTCAGCTGCTGGAGGAGGGGGACTGAACTATGACAAAGTCACCCTGGCCTCTAATTCAGTGTCGAAACTGGCCCTTTTTCTTACCCAGTCCCAGGACCCTGACCTGCTCACACTCACCTTTCCCTGCCCCTGTCACCAGGGCACGCAGACCACTGAAACTGAGCTTCATGCTGCTGACACCAGTGTTCTCCTGCAGCAAGAGAAGGGCTCCGATTTTTACGGTTGGACCGGCAGGTGGAAGGGGTGGGGCCAGGAGCAGACTGGCCTGGCCATGGTGGCATGACCTGTTCCCTTCAGGGGGGGCTCCTCTTACCCTAAATACGTCAGGCAGCGGGCTTGCAGAAGAAATGAGAATCTGTGTACACACGTGTCAATGAGACGTCCTGAAGGGAAAGGGGGTGGGCCCAGGAATGGAATTGTGTTTTCTTTAGTGCTCAGTCTTCAGCCCTCGACAAGTGCCGTACCACTGAACCACAGCCGAGCCGAGGAAAGTAGAAACGTTTTCCTTCTCTGAACAGAAGCATCACCCTGTAACAGTTTTCACTGGAAGACAAGCTGGGTTTCCCAGTCAGATGGGTCCTCCAGGCTGGCTGAGAGGGTCGCTGTGCCCATGGGCATGGGAGTGGTCAAACACTGGGCACTGAGGCTCTCAGGAGACGGTCCAGCACCTTGGATGAGTTCTGTAGTTCTGGGGTGGGGGAAGACACCCAGGGAACATGCTGGGCAGGTGGCAAGGATGTCTGTTTGGGGTTGCCGTTGCCTCTGTGTGTCAGACACCAACCCCACCAGGGCTAAAATCTGCCCAGTGAGGCAACTGGAGTCCTCCTTACTTGGCCCTCCCAGGAGCTCCTCGCCTGCCTCCAGCCAGCCTAGGACGCTGCCCTTGGTGACCACCTTCAGGTACTTTGGATCCTGAGGTGGGACTTTTGTGGGTTTTTTTTTTTTTTTTTGGTCTTTTTTTGAGACAGGGTCTCCCAGTAGCCCCAGCTGGCCTGGAACTCACTATGTAGACCAGGCTGGCCTTGAACTCACAGAGATCTGCCTGCCTCTGCCTCCCGAGTGCTGGGATTAAAGGCATGTGCCACCATGCCCAGCTGAGACGAATTTTTTAATTCTTTTTTGAGATAGGGTCTTCCTATAGTTCTGGCTAGCCTGGAACTCACTAGTAGACCAGGCTGGCCTTGAACGCACAGAGATCCGCCTGCCTCTGCCTCCTGAGTGCTGGGGCTAAAGGCATGTGCCACAACGCCCGGCTCGAGGTGGGACTTTTGTAAACCTAACCAGGGTGGGAAGTCTTTCTTGCTGCAGTTGCACCCCAAGTGTTTCTGTGAGGCTCCCCTGTTCAGAGCAGTTGGTTGGAAATTTGGAGGTCAGTTTAGAGAAACTCAGATTTCTTTTCCACCATCCCCACCCCTGGGAATTGGCCTAGGATATGCCAAGCCCCTCTCCATCTTGAGTTCAGAGTTCAGGGAAGGACACCTCTGTCCAGGGAATCAGGCCAGGTCACATGACAGCTCCTCCAGGCAGGATGCTCAGGTCACAGACCATCGAAGGGACAGCCCCAAGGAGCAGGTGTTCTCAGCTCCTGTCCACTGCCTTTCCCTTCCTGAAGCCAGGCCCCTAGCTGAGACTGAGTGACCTCAGGAAGAGGGCAGCTGGTTTTCTAGGTGCTCTGCTCACCCTGCCTCTCTGAGCACTCTTGAGAGGGTCCTGTCCCTGACCTGTGAGTGACCCTCAGAGAGGAAGACGCAGGAGGGTACCTGGGTGGGCACCGCAGTGTTTCTCTTCCACTGAGTATCCCTCTGCCCACGTCAGGAGACTGTGGAGGGACGGTCCCGGGACTCAGGAGAGGACACTACACAGTGAGGGACTGCAGGTCAGCTCCACACAGGGTCTGTTCTGTGACACACAGATGGACACCTGAGGAGCTGGTGTTGCCAGGCAGACTTTCCTCATAGGATTTGGGGCCATACCTGCTCACTGTGTCCTTGTCCCTCACCTGAGCTGACCCCTTGAGTTCTGCAGCCAGCCTCCAGGTGGCCCTGACTGTGGGTGGGGTCTGGCCCTGTGTGACATACTCACATAGATTTTCCTGGGAGTGACCCCCAACACCTGCAGTTTGGAACCTTCAGAGACAGCTCCATAAATTCTTTCGGATTCCATACCCCTCAGTTAAAACATAGGGTCCTATGCCGGGCATGGTGGCTCATGCCCTTAATCCCAGCACTTGGGAGGCAGAGACAGGCGGATCTCTGTGAGTTCAAGACCAGCCTGGTCTCCATAGAGAGTTCCAGGCTAGCTGAGGCTGCAGGGAGACCTTGTCTCAAAAAGACCAAACAACAACAACAACAAAACCCATTTTATTTTATGTTTATTATAAAGGTAATGCAAATGACTAAAACATGGACAAAGCCTTCCTTTTACTGCCCCGCAATCCCATAAGCACAATTAGCAATTTAGTTTTCTGTCTCATCTCGTAGTTTGGTGTATTATCTGTGACCAGGACCACATTCATATGCTCTTGTGTCTCAGACTTTTCACAGTAGCAATTTCTCTTGTTTTTCATGATACTGATTATTAATTTTTAATAAGTATATAATGAGTCTTTCATAGATATGTTTGTTGATTACCTAGGCAAGGAGATGGTTAACAACGGCCCCCCGTGAAGCTTTACTGGAACACAGTCACGCCCATTTGCTCATATGATTGCAGTTGTTCTCATGTTACAAACAACGGTGTTGGGAAATTACATAGAGATGGTGTGACCTGTAGGCCTCAACACTTGACTGTTTGGTCCTGTTAAAGTGTAGTCGTTTCTGCCCTGAGCTCTTTTAAAATTATTATATTTTGCTTATTGTGCCATGGTGTGCACGCAGAGGTCAGAGGACACCTTATAGGAGTCGGTTCCTTCCTTCCATCATGTGGGTTCTGGGGATTAAACTCAGGTCATCAGACTTGGCAGCAAGCACCTTTATCCACTGAGCCATCTCACTGGCCCACAAAAATATGCCCATTTAGACCTTGTAGCTGGTGAGTCCTTTTCTATTTTACTGTATCTTGGACCAGATCAAAGGAAATACAAAGTCAGTGCATAGGAAAGACCATATCGTTGTAAGTCACTGTGGGAGAGGAGGGAGCTGTTGTTATTGAATTAAAATGGTGGAGTTGGACAAGGAGAGAGTCCCCTGACTCAGTCAGTTCATCCAGGGCCTGATAGGTCCCCACCACAAGCCCAGGATGCTGATGAGGGAGTCCTTGAGGATGGTGAGTGGGTTCATGACCTCTGAGTAGTAGACGATGATCTCCAGAAGGGGCGGGATGATGAGGGCCAGGGCACTGCTGCTCACGGAGCCCACCAGGGAGAGGACCGGGTCTAGGGGGAGGATGAGGACAGCCAGCATGCACGTGAAGCAGACCATGGTGAGGCAGGGGGACAGGTTCACAGCCAGTGCCCAGTGCATGGACACCCAGGAGACAGACAGTAGTGACTTGACTGACTGGTACAGGCAGCATTTGGGCAGCTTAAGGGTTAAGCCGGCTTTGATGTCGTCTCCAAACCGCAGGTAGCCCAGGGCTCCAGTGGTGACGTACAGAGTGGTGATGATGAATATCCCCAAAGGCAGTATGACTGGGAAGTGCACGTTTCATCTTGTCTTCCAGAGGCAAAACCATGACAATGCTTTCGAGTGAAAAAATGGCCATTCCAAAGAAGAGTGGGTAGGTCTTCCAGCTTCTACCAGGGGTAACCGGCTGGAGTCTGGAATTCCCTGGGCCATGTATTGTGCAATGATGAGCAGACTAACCTACATGCTGACGATGGGGGAAGATGGTAAGGACACACTGGTTTCTGATGAAAACCAGTAGCACCAGGAAGCCAGGAAGGCTAGCGTGTAGAGGTGCGAGTCCATGGTGGGCATCAGGACCACTGTCTCATTGTAGTGGTGGGTGATGGCTGTGCCATTAACAGCTTCTGCCACCTGTTTTAAATTGTCAGCCAGAAATACAATGTACACACAGCAGAAACCCAGCTGTGTGACCATGAGGAAGAAGCTCACGATGTGCTGTACCCAGTGGGCATGGCTTTGGAGCCGGGTGCTGGGACCGGCTTCTGGTCAGTGCATCACCGTATCCCCATAGTCCATGAAGGCCTTGTTGAGCCTGTGGCAGAAGCGCTGGGCACACCTGACCAGGATGTGCCTACAGTGGCAGGCAAGGGGGCCCATCAAGATGAGTGGACCCATCAAGATGCCCACATTCTTTACAGACAGTGGAAGTCCCAGAATTCCTGTGCCATGTTGTGTTTGACTAGATGAATCAATGTCTAGAACTCTGTTATGACCTTCTTCTTCTTTGATGACTCTGAAGAGTTTCTGTTCAAGAAACTGGGCCCGTTGCTCTGTGGCTTCTTGGTACTTTCTGGAGATGACACAAGGTCCAGCTTGAAGGTGGTAGTTCCCTGGGGACCCCCCCAACTCTTGGTCACAGGCATGGCTGCTTCAGAAAGGGCAAGTTCACGGTAAGGAGGGGATCTGCACCAAGAGGAGGCAAGTGGGAAGGGTTAGATGCAGGTACAAGTCCAGCTCAGTCCCTAAGCATTTTAGTGGCTCATTCTTGGGGCTATGTTGTGAGGTGCTGTCCTCTAAGCCAAACTACCACAACCTTCCTGAGCTCATTTGGGCCCGTGGACTATTGAATTCCTTCCTTGAAGGGGGGGCAGAGAGGGTCATTGGACCCTCTCCTGAGTATCCAGCCATTCCTTGCCCAGCCAGCCATTTAAAAAAAATGTTTATTTTATGTGTGTGTGTATTGTCTGCATGTAGGTGAGTGCACCCGTGTCATGCAATACCCACGGAAGACAGAGAGGCTGTCGGATCCCCTGGAACTGGAGTTACAGACAGTTGTTAGCTGCCATGTGGGTGCTGGCATTCGAACCCGGGTCTTCTGCAATAACAGTCAGTGTTCTTAACCGCTGAGCCATCTCTCCAGCCCTATCCTGCCAGCCATTTTTGTGCAATTCTGTCCTTTTTGCACATGGCTGTGGGCTCTTGGGGGAGGGACTAGAGTATATGAGCCAGGGAAGTCTAGGGGAAGGGGGCTCCATCTATGCAGCTATGGGGAAACCATCATCAATGCTTGATGAAGATTCTCCAGTTCAGCTGCTTGGGGACCACCCACCTTCCTGTTAGTAGTCCATCACTCATGATCTGTAATTCAATAAACTCTGGCGCCCTAATATAAACTGGTGGAATTGTACTTTGGTTCTCCTTGGGACCTTAGGAGGAGGAGCTAGATGTTGTTTACATATCCCCCCCGGGGTGGGGGGATGGCAG